ACATCGTATGTCATTAGCACACTTCAAGGCTAATGGAGATATACCGAGGTCGTATGTACATTGCTTAAGCAAACACTGGAAATGACCTTCACAATAACATACGCAATCTAGACAAATGATGCTGGTTCTCACCTTAACTCACATTAATTCAGATGGAGATATGGTAAGCAAATGTCACTTCTAATAATACTACTGTATAAAATTGCCTGTGTGGAGAAAGGCAGCTTGTTTTGGTGCTATTTTATAAAATGTTCCTTTCCTGCTTCGGCTAGGTTGCAGGGAGGGGGCCGGCTGGCGTGGAGACCCCAGCGGCAGGTCGAGTTAGCTATGTTTGTTGAGGATACTGTGACAGTCAGTGGAGCTGCTTAAGGAATGAAGCTTGTTCCCTCCAGTTGGAAGCTGACCTCAGTAACCTCTAGGCCCTCCTGCTGCCCCCTCCCTACTCCCTCACCGTCCTCATTGCCTGTGACCTTCACCTGGCTTACTCGCCCTCCAGATGAGGCTCCATGCGATTAAAAGTAATTTATTGAATTATCGTGAAGTTCACATATAGCTGCAGTACACTTTCCATCCAGCAAACAGAAAACAAGATGTTCATAACACCTTTTTAGGTGTGTCACTTTCTTTTTTATTTAAAAAAACATTTGGAAAAAAATTATATGCAATTATGTGTATGAATGCAAACATCTCTGTGTTTTGGCAGCAGACGATGCCTCGTACTCCAGTGACGGGTGTTCCTTCACTGTCATTCTGTTTGCTCACTTTGTAAAACGCAATTGTAACGTCAGCTCGTCATTCAACTGAGGCAACGCAGACACTGCAATTTAATGGAGCACAATCCGAACCAGATTTCACCTGGTGAAATGTACTTTGTCGTTGCACTCGCTGCAGTCAAACAATGTCTCCTTCTGCTGCGTGTATTTATTCTTCATGCAATTTTATGAGCAATTATATCAACATCAGTATTTCCTGAATAAGAGGACAAGTTTAATGTGATTAGACGTACAACGTATTTTACAATAGGCTACATGGGTTGTGTTTGAAGGGAACACTAAATGAAATAGATTATCAGATATCTAAGTGGTATGTCATATGTACGCTTACTTGCCATATGTTGTTACAAGATATCATAATGCTTTATGATGGCTATGTGTTGTATTATTTATGCATGGTGATTCATTATGAAAGAAAGTTCATGTGATGCATTATAAGCTTTAGAGAAAGTGCTAGTGTAGAATTTTGTTGGTTTCCTTTTGTTTTCACCTTTCCTCCACATTGTTCCTTTCCTTCAACCTGCTTTAATTCATCCGTGCCACTGTCTAATTACTCATTAGTCTATTTAGTATTTTTCGTTACTTTTCCAACACATGACAAGAAAACAAAAAAAATATTTTCCATTATTCTGTTTGACAAGAACAACCTTGTAAATGTATTTTGGTGGAAGGCATAACACACAAGTTTCATTCATACTCTAACTTCGGTATGTACATTTTTACTTTCTTTTCTTTTATCTTCATCCCCAGGATCAAACAAATGCTGTGTTTCAGCACCTAAGCCGACTTTCCCTTTGGTTTTCCTGCAAAAAAAGAAAGGATGAGAAAGAGAGAATGGGAGTAAGCGAGAAAGAGAAAGAAAACAGCACAGCAGGGTTCATATCATCTTTCTCCTCAGTGTGACTCCCTGATATCGGTTGGCCTTTCCAGCCCTCTCAAAGGCACTCTCCATCAGCATCCCTCCATCATCCCCTACTTCTCTCCCCTGCTTTCTCAAGCTCACTCTCTTTATCTGCCTCTGCTTTCTCCAATTTCAGTCAGTGGAAATTAGAGTGGAGCACAAAACAGCATGGAGTAGAGAGAAAGGGAAAAAAAAAGTGAGACGATGGGACAGAGAGGGAGAGAGGAGAACCGATATAATAAAAGCAGTATGGGGGCCATAGCTTCTAGCTGTGACTGCGAAACAGCAGGAAACAAAGAGGAGAAAACAGCTTACAGAGTTTAAGTTTTCACACAGATAAACAGATAAACAGCACCCACACACTGTGCGTTCACAAGGCACAAACGTACAATAGCTTTCTATGTGATTCGCAAGAACTATGTTGCATAATATATATATCTAGCATTCATGATCTCTTCATAATCTCATTGTCTTTTGTTCAAAGGTGCCCTAAATGCTTTGCATAACAGCAATAACCCATGATGGAAGTCTCATTATATTAGGATATGACTATTTGATTTCTTTGTTTGTTTTGTTCACTGCATGACTATCAGTTTAACTCAGAGTTGTAGTACTTGTTTATTACGACTTCTATGTAAAAAAAAACCCAGTTCATTTATGTTTTCATTATAATTTTATGTTTTCATCTGCATGACTTATGGTGTGCTTAGGAGGTTCAAGTGTCCTGGAGCAGAACAAAGTAGCAAGCAGCCAATCCATTTTTTACTAAAGTAAAAGCTCTGTACAATATAAATTAAGCATAAATTGAAACATGTCTTAAGCAGCCCAACCATTTAAAACCCAATCCATGTTTTAACCAGGCCAGAGGGTTATTCCAAGATGCAGGGACACTCAAAAAGATGACTCGAAAATGAAATTATAAAATTAATTATAAACGTTTTGAACAAAGTGAGATATCATTGGTTAATGTGGCTGGAACACATCCATCAGAACGTCTGTCAGGAACACATTCGACTTAATGTTGTTCAAAACACACACATTGTTTTCTGACAGGGTAATCCTGATCCTTGAAAGACATCATGGTGTCCATCACATATAGTATGAGAGCCTAAATTCATGGCTCTTTAATTGAAGAGGATTCCCTCAATAAGGCACTGTCTGGAATCCAGCAGCTAGAAAATGAGCCGCTGATGGGAGACTAATAAATGACTTGCAGCTGCGCATGATGTCAGTAATGAACACAGCGAGATGAGAAGAGAAAAGTAAAAAGAGAGAATGGAAGGAAGACAATGAATGCTTATTGTAGATACACATACTATCAGTCAGTTTAACATGGCTAACCAGAGATTATGGCCAGGTAAAATTCATGAGATACATTCATATTAAACAAGCTACTGTGGCACGTAAACATTTCTCACATTTCACTTAAAGAAAACCAAAAAAAGGTCTGTAAAAGAAAGATGTGTTGGACTCAGAGACCAACACATGAATGAACAATACAGATGATTACATGTCACCATGCCATCTTTCTAGATGAAAGTTGCAAAACCTCCTCAGGGCACAGACAGTTTTTTAAGGAGATAAAAGGTAGACAAAGATAGGAGATGATACGAAAGAAATAAGGAGAATGAAGAAAGGTTTAAAAATGACGCAAGAGAGAGAGAGAGGAAAATAAATAAAAACAAACCCAGACAAAGAGAAAAAAAGAGAAAAACGAGAAAGAACAATGATTAAATATTCAGAAAGATGTAGGACTGGGAGAAACCATGGGGAGAGATGAACAAGGGATACAACTGTTCAAAAGAAACATGTCTAAGAAATCAGAAACAAGTTATACAGAGTTGAAGACGATGAACAAGGTTTAGAAGGGGAGTACATGGTAGTGTTATATGACCCCACCCTCCAACAGAGACTATAACATTCTTATCTTCTATTAAAGCTATTCTTTGCCACTGTATGCATCTCTGTGTGTTTTTTACTACATTGGTACCTGTTGTTTCGCTTCTCTCATGTTTACTTCTTGCAGGTTTTAGTTGTATTTATTCTCCTCTTCCTTGACTATTCATGTTTGACAGCTGAATAAGGGGAAAAATCAACCTGTACTGTTCAGTATCAACTTTAGTTGAAACAGAATCTAACGTTCTGCTTCCTCACAATAGCAACGCAATATACACACTGACTATATCAAAGAGTGAGCACATAAACTATGTAGTACCTATTTAGTTCACCTTCCTCAAGAAAAAAAAACATAGCAATTAAACCACCAACACCCTGATTTGTACTACTGTTGACCCCTCTGTGTATTTCATTCAGCAGGGACTATATATCAGGAGTTTTCAAACTGCTTTCAGCCTGTGTTTAATCACTCACTCTGGGGACTCGGGGCTCATTAACAAGCAGGTGGAGACCCATAAGCTGAGCTCATGTCAAGCTAAAGTCTAAGAAACCAGGTTGTGTACGTCTTTGTCTTCCTGCCAACGCAACAGCATGGTTCATCATTACCTAGCCAGCAGAGTAATACTATGTGCTGTCAAGTGACAAGTGTGGAACTTTGGCTGCCGTCCAGTACATCGCTGTGGATCCTATTAAACTGTCCTGTGAACATCGCAGCACAGCACTGGTAGTGGGGCAGTTGCGTGCACACATCTGACCAGCTTTTTGCACAAACAACTGAACATCTGAATAATAGGTTTAACCTGTTTGCTTATAGTGCACCAATGAGACAACCTGGGAGAAACGTTGGCCACATTTCTTGGATTGTGATAACTTTATATCACACAGAGTGAAATATCATCAGTGTCGTAAGAAATATGCAGGAAAAGAGGTCAACGTATAAGGGGAAAAAAGGAAAATGCCTTTTTTACAACACATTTAGAACAAACAGTCTGGAAAGAGACATCTGTTGTAGAAATAAACTATGTATTTAAATGCATGTGCATGTGTGCAACGGTTTTGACACACTCGCCTATGTCTGTGTTGGACATTTGCCAGCAAAGTTGCAACATCAGCCGTGCATTAATGTTACAATCTCACCAAAAAAACACTGGTATTTTACTCTGTGATGATCTGTGTTTTGTAAAAAAACCCATGTTTGTGAACTGACATGCAACAGCACTTAACATCTCACAGGCTTCTTTTACCTGTCAAAAATGTTCTGACTTAAACAGCAAAAGTTTTACAGTCCCTGCAATGAATGGCAGTTTTGATTTAATATCTTTTTCCACCCATTTTTTCACACTATGATCCGATGCACTCACTTTCTCTTGCACTATACACACATCCCTGGTTAGATCTGTTTGTATGTGCACGTGCTAAACTTCACTCACCTGAGTTTTCGTCCACTCTCTCCTCCACAGTGTGGTCTTTCTGGTGGACCCACTCACTGTTGCACTTGAAGTAAATCTGTGTGGCAGGCGTTGCTTTGCAGTAGAGATTGACAGGTTTATTCTTGACAATGTAGCCTTCCTCGGGCTCAAACAGGAAGTGAGGTAAAGGCTCCGGAGGGTCGGAGGGGAAGGTTTCCGGGAGTTCGCTCAGACTCAGGAAATCATCATCATCTCTCACTGCGGGAGGAGGAGAAGAGAAACGTTAAAAATTTGACAGTCACTGTTATTCAGTGGAGATTTGCTTTTACTGATTTCCAGCTCTGCCAGTCTTTGTTTTATCGACTCGCTTTGGGTACCAACAGGTTGAGGTTGGTTCAGCGAGGAAATGCTGCATGTTCTCAATCGTTCATTATCGTTCGGTGATTCACACCAGTGAGCAGCATTGTCCCCTGAACTGAGTGTGTATGAGGCGATGTCGTTCTCATTTGATCACTAATAATTGTCGTGTCTCAAGCCAGTGACCTGGACAGAGTACAATTCTCTTCCACTGAGCCATAAAATGCACCTTTAATAAGGACCTGATTGTCGTGCCTATTTGCGGAAACGTTCTAGCTATCATCATTCATTTATTTAAAAAAACATTTCTGCAGACCTAGACAGAGGAGGCTGTTACAGAGAGGAAGCCAACATACACACATCACATCACAGACCACTTGCTGAGAACGCACAAACATAAATATTAAAGAGACATTATGTAGTTTCCAGCGGCCACTAGCGGTGCGGTTTTAAGATTGCAACCAGGTGTGTGCTCATACATGTGCTTGCTTGAACTCATGAGCGAGCATAATCCGAAACGCAACCACTTTCATCTCAGAGGCAGATCAACACCGGCGCCGTACCTTTCATTCAGCGCAGCGAGCCGCATAGCGGCACATTCCCCCCGGAAAAAAGGCAGAGTGACAGCAGCTATAGACAGACAGGGAGAACAGACAGAGCTGGAAACTCAGGTAAACTCCCACTGCAACGTTACAGTAATAGTTTTATCAACTGCAGGTTGAACTAATCCATGCTCGTTACATGATAACGGTACATTTACTGCATTTAGCCAACGTGCTACATCGTTAGCTCGCCCGCTGCTTTCAGTAACTATCTTTATTATCTGTATATCTTTCACCAGAGGCTCAGCAATGTCAGCACAGCTACATGTATTGGATGATAACGAAACGGTTAGTGAGCTGGACTGGAAATGATAACGAGATTGTGTCACACTTTATAAAAATAAGATCGCAGTAAGTAAATTTACTGTAGTGTCAGTGGATGGCTCTTCCTCTGGGTTGTATATTATGTGGGTCATGTTAGTTACAGCGACTGAGAGGTGGAGAAGCTGTGTACCTGAGTATCGGTAAAAGGCAATAAATCTAAACCGAACGTTACGAAGCAAACAGTGGCAAATCCGAGCTAATGTAACGTTAGCTGGCTGCCCTGGCTGCATCACTATAGGCTAACGTTAGTAAACAAATCGCTTCACATTTGCTTTTTGCCGTTACATCCTTTCTTGAAGGCTAAATCAACAGTGATACACAGGATAGTAACATGTGTTGCATTACTTGGTGAAGTTATGTGTAAAGCGATATAACTTCGCACCGGATAATGTTAGCAACTGCTCGGTGCGAGTTAATGTGAGTTTCTCTGTGTTTCTCCAGCTTTACTAAACCTCACCTTATTTTTACTCGACATTATCTGAACCTGTTTGGCCTGATGGACTTCAGCACATAAACCTTTATTGTTGGTTTTAATCCTTACGTGGAGCCTGTGTTTTGTAGCAGGCCTTGTGTGCAGTATTGGAGCATGTTAGGCCTACTTCCTTTTATAAATGTTCACTGAGTAGCTGTTTGTCTTTCAAGCAACTACAGTAAAACTATGAGCAGGACTGCTCAAAGTTCAGAGTGATGAAGAGCTCACTCCTAATGAGCTCCACAGAGCACCTGTTCTTGCAGTCACTTCGCTGGTTATTCTGGAAAATATCCTTTCCACATAACCAGTGGATGTTGAGATGCTTATGATGTGGCTGTTGATGGACATTATGAGAAATTACAAATGAACTTAAGTAATTGTAAAGGGTGGTCTGAACACAGACATCTACAAATTTATTATTTTAATTTATCACCATTTTTATGATTGGTCAGTAAATATATTTATGTAATTATTTGTTTAGTTTTTATTCAGCCTATTGTTAATTCTATAGTATTGAATCATGCAATTATATGGATATATATTCTTCACACTGCACTATATTTTGATAATTACAAGTGTATTAAACAGCCTATATCTTTTATCTCTTATTAAATACGTGTCTGACAGTATACCTCAACCTTAAAAACAAATCATACCACAATGTAGATGTGTGCTTCATTTACATTGTATGAACATTTCTTAACAAATAGGCAGCATATGAAATACAGAGTAATCAATCAGAAAATTAGTATGTGCACCACACACAACACTGGTCGACAAGTTGTGCAGTTTGGCTTGACACTCATCAAGTAGGCTATTTGATTTCTCCCACTCTTGCCGTCGCCGGTACTTTTGCATCCACTTTCGTTTCAGAGGGGACGCGGGGGGTTTCTCGAGCTGCCGCCGCCGTGGTTTCAACTCGACTCCTTGCCAAGAGACCCGCCCTTATCTGACTCCGATTGGCCCTGAACCTGACGGTATTAATTAAACCATCAATGGCAGCAAGACAAACCGTGTGACGTATTGATTCGATTTCGTATTTTAAGGGACAGGTGACAACCCTACTTACTGCTAGTCAGTCACAATGGCACTTTGTTTACAGGACTGTACACAAGTACATTCATTACTGAAGGGAAAAAATTAACTCTGTGAATTGTCTGCTCCTGTCGGTATTTCAATTCTAAAATGAGCTGGCTAAACATGTTGTCTCTCACTTTTTAGGATGGGCAGGCAGGGCTGAAAGTAATATAGTATGACAGAAAGAGTAACATAGACATACAGACTAGAGGAAATAAATGAACAGAAGGAGTGCTCATTCGACCAACCCTGAGGGCACCAAGAACTTTATCTTCCTCCTCCTCTATCCAGCTCTCTCTCCTCCACTGTCTTTTCAGTCAGTCCAAACTTCACGCCCACCCGTGGCCTCAATCAAAGGGACCCCAAGAATGTTTTGTCACCAGGTTGCCAAGGTCACCAAAACACAGAGGATTACAAGAGCAGGTGGGAGGGAGAAGAAGAGCACTTCCTTTCTTTCGCTCCAATAGACACAGATGCACACAAACACAACGAACATATATTAAACGTCCATGCACACACACACACACACAAATGCACATTTTCTTATAACATGTAATTTCCCTCCACTCCATCATCATCCAGTTTCATTAAGACTGTCTAGACCTTTCGTGTGTGTGTGTGTGGAGGTGCTTCTATGTGTGGTTGCCTCACCTGGAGAGCTGTGACTCATGGGAAAATGTTAACACAGGGAACATTTTTGACTGAGCTTCAAACTCTCTTTTTTTTGTCCCAAATGTGTCATGGCTACAGTCACACATAAACACAAAACAAACACACACAATCTAATATATGTAACACATAATTGTGCATTTAGGCACCTGTGCACACGTATACACTATCTTACATTCCTCTACCCTAACTGTGTGTGTTGTTGTGGTCCTTATCTTGGAGAATAGCAGTGTGCTGTGGGCTAGAAGCTAAAAGCAGCTTAGGTAAAACAACAAGACGCAAATAGGGGAAAAATGAGTAGGCAGAGTCCCCACTTTGATGTCACGAAGCTGACATTTTCTTTCTTAGTTCTGTAATTAGTTCTCTGGGAGTATGGAAATTGGTAGACATTTTCACAGCATAATTTCATTATCTGTGGGAAATTTTCTCCCACTCTTATATTCAAGTCATATTCATCGTCAGACTCTCTCTCGCTTGCTGCACTGCCTCCTCTTTCACTAGGACTATTTCTTGTGACTTCATGTTTCTCCACCACCCTGCTTTACACCCTCCTAACCCCTCCCGCTTTCCACTTTTCCCCAACACCCATTCTCACCCTCATCTGTCATTCAGAGAGCTGGGGGGTTCATTGCTCTGGAGCGACAGCTATAAAATATTGATTGGCACAAGAAACATGATAGCCAGAGAAAAGGGTGGGTGGATTGGAGAAAAGAAGAGGGATGAAGAGAAACTTCCCCATGAATAAAAGCTTTATCTCAGAAATGCCTACTATTTTCTCTCTCCACTGCGCCATCCTCGCTTCTCTCTCCTCTCCCCACTTCACACTTTTACCTTCCCATCTGTTTCCCTCTTATTAAACCTTCTCCCTATCCTCGTTTCTCCTCTTCTTTACCCCTACTGCTCTCTTCTGAACTCCTGACAGAGTGAATTACTGATCCTAACAGCCCAGCTCATAAACGTCTTGCCTGAATGCTGTCATCAATAATGGATGGCTGTAGCAGAACAATGTCCAGGTTCAAATTACGGCATGCAGTAAATATGTACCGGGGGCAAAAACCACATTTATTCCATCCCTTGCGCTTGAAGCCTGCCCACTTCAGAAAACCTACAAACCCAACCAATAAAGGTCCATAACTCTGTGAAGAATGATGTCATCAGAAGAGCCAATCGTGTTTAAGTGTCATAGGCAAAGTGTACATAGATTGATGGATAAATGACAGAGGGAAAGAAAGGAGAGAGGTAAATTGAAGGGGGAAAAATATAATGTAAAGAAATTATATTCTTAACATTAGTGAACATGGTGTGAAGCGACATGTACTGTAAAAATAAAAGAAGAAGAATAGGCCACTCATAGTCGGAGATTTATGGACAATAGCAACATGTCCATACCTATGTCAAGGTGTTGTTAAGTAAAACTAGCTTGTCATTTTTCCTCCTAATAGCGTTACTGGTGAGGTCTATACAGAGTTGCCAGGTCTGTGAGAGTGAAAGATTGAGATTTGGGGGCTACTTAATACTTATTTGATAGTTAGCCACTCACAACTGTGAATATTGTTTGTCTGACAAAATATGTCAATACTACATTTTAAAGAAAAACTTGTAACCTTGAGCCCATTTAACAGGAACATTGATACCGAACACTAACATCTTTTGAAACAAGTATTGTCAAGAGTCTTAGGATTTCAAGAGGTATGGAACCGTGTCTGCATCCTAAAGCGAGCCAAACGCAGCCAAGTGGGGTCAACATGCATCATGGG